ATCTTTTCTCAGTAAGTGTTCAATTTTTTTTCATTTTGATTTGAGATTGACACACAATCATGGTTCCTTTATGAAAGGAAAGTGTCTAGTTAGGAAAAAAAAAGCAGCAAAATTAATTTGGGAAGACACCAGTCAAGTTCCTGGCATTCCTTTCTCACCGCTGCTAGAAATTGGGTGGCCTCACAAGGCTGTGGTCTACAGCTGTATATCAAGTAAGGACTAGTGAGGCTGTCCTCCTACCTTCAAAGGGAGACTAATTACATTGGACTTCAAATGCTGCTGGGTGCCAGTGACGTGTCTATACAAACATAAAAAGCCTTTCAATTTTGTCTTCCCTTCTCTTTGCTGGAAACTCAGCTGAATGCCGTGCCAGCACCCTGCAAAGAAATGCAACAGGAAGGGGGCTGGGAGACACGGGAAGGAAAGATTGAGTAAAGCCAGAATATCTGAATAGCCTCAATGGTCCACTTTAGTAAGACCCTCATGTACCTGCAGAGTCTAAAATCAAAATAAACCTTTTTGTATCCAGTAAAAAGACTTGTTTGGTGCAAAAATGTCAAGATGCAAACTCTGCCATCTGTATGGACAAATTTGCCAGAAGGTGACTTTCCTTTCTTAATGCAATGTTCAAGTCTGATTTTCTTTTTCTTCTATTTTCTAGGATTCGGATGACCAGCAGCTTATGATGAGTGGTCCTCATGATCAGAATTAAAGGCTGAATTTGGCATTAGTCAATTCTAAAACACATTTCTATTTACACTTACTGTGAAAAACAGCACCTACACATTTCAGGGAATAAAATCTCGTTACAAATTAAAACCCAGAAGAGCACAGCTTTGTTTAAGATGCAGTCTATAGAGTTGACAGTTTCCAACCTCAGAAGCAGTGGCTGTATCTGAGCAATATCAACTAAGAGTGCCAAAGACAAACCTGAGTCTCAGCTAACCTACCACGAAGCAAACAGACAATTCTCAGTGAAAAGTATAAGACTTCCACTAGCCTGCTATTTAACCGCTTTCATTCTTCTTCACCGACTTTAAAATGGCCTCAAACGCACTGCTAGCTTGGCCAATATCCTAAATCTGCTAGTACTCCAGCTCTCCGCTTTCATTCTGGCTCAGTTACAACTACGACTTGCAAGTATGAAACAAAACATGGGTTAAATTTGTATTTTTAACCTCAAAGGATATTTTGCTATATATATGCTTTCTCCTGGGAATTTCAGCAGCAGGAAATGCAAACGTCCTGTCTACCCTGCTTGCCCACCCTAGCTTTTCTGTCTTTCCTTCAACTTGACCATGTTTTGTTTACATCTCACCTCACTGTACAAAGGGAAATCGTAATTGTAGCACCTTTAGCAAGAAATACAGATTATATGAGGGTATTAAGATAGTAATCAATTTTTACTTGAGCAATTTTTGTGAAAAGTGGACAATGAAGATTATGTACTTGCAGCTCATGTATGCATTCAGATTTTTGGGTCTGTGAGGAACAGAAGCTACCTGCTTGTTCACACGCTATTTTTACCAAGCACGTTAGCATTGCCTTTCAACCAATGCACAGCAATAACAGCTCTGATTTTCACCATACTATTAGTACAGTAAAGTTTGATTCACTTTCATTTCTTTCCCTCAAAACCTCAGTAGCATAGCAAATTGTGAGAACAGTATAGAAACCACAAAACAGCCAGACAAGGAAGATATTCTTGCTGGCAGCAGTAATGTTTCCCTGTGATATGCTTCCAGGTATCTACCACGCATGGGGCGCAGGAGGGAAGGGGTCCCTGCAGAAAAGCATTAGTGACCTCCGAGAGCAACCCTGGGATGCCTCCTATCAAAACAAGACCCGCAGGCAAATCCAGGGTTGTAGGGTTGTTGACACAACCGTCAAGCACAACCAAGGGAATCTAATGTGTAAATGGGCCTGGGTGAATGAGAGACTGAAATAACTTCCCTAACTCCTTTTCTTATCTTCCCCCCGCCTCCATGCCTGCCTCTTTTTACCTATAAGGTATTACAAAATTTAAAACACACAAACATATTTAGGGGACTTTTCACGACGGAGTTTTGCAATTAATACAACTCATGTTCTTTCCTTCTCCCCAGTCACTCAAATTATTAAGGCTCATAGGGACCAGAAGATAAAGTCCAAGCATTTATTTTCGTAATAATCATTAAATATTTTTACCACAAAAAAAGTTCCACAGTTCATTAAACTCTTCTTTTACTGGCAGACTATTCTCTTCCATGTTTTTGATAGAATAGAATGAAAATTTCTTCTTGCTTTGGTGTTCAAATGAACTATACTCCCAAAACGAAATAAAGAGACACTGCCCTTTAAACATGCTCAAAAATCTCTTTGAAGTCAGTAACATAACAAGGTTAAAATAAGTAATGCAGACAGCGCCAAGGTGAAATCATTACAAAAATGCAAGACATTTTTAAAAGTTAAAGAGCATTCTAGAATTGAAAAATAAATAATGCATTTTAAAATTCTCACTTAAATTCATATTATATATAGTTGGGTTGTTTTAAAGGAACATAACCCTCTCATAATTATTTTAGTTTCATGCAGTGTTGTTTATTTCAAGAAGTCATGCAATATAAACAAGATTTTACTTCAGCTGGCTGTTGTAACATAGCTTTGTACAGAAGTTTGATTTATAAGGTAAGAGAAAGGAAGGGGGAGAGGAGAAAAGTAATCTTGAAACAAAAGTATGTATTATGTGGATAACATCATCCAACCCAGTCAAATTGTTCCTGCTTAACACAGGAAAATTAGACAAACTGACTCGTAGCCAGCTTTAAAAGAATAAACATCACAGAGCTCTAACCAGCAAAACATTATCAAAGTCAATAACACAGAACTGAATAACACAATATTATTATTTGCTGGTAGTAAAATGGAGAACATACAGTGGCTTGGAGTTTGTTTTTTTTTTTTTTTTAAACAGTGCATTGAAATCTCCGGAGCATGAGAGGTGCTACGGACATGTAACACCAAGTTCAGCTCTAGCCGAGCATCAGGGTGAAGAACTGAAGGCAAATTGGGGATATTTCCATCCCTATATTTCATTATCAAGTTACGCTAAATATTTCTCCCACCAAGTCTCCTGATAAAGCCAAACTAACTTCCTGCAAAACTTTATCTTTTTCTTCCACCAAAACAGTCAGATGAACTTACTCGCTTCAAGTATATTCATCTGTTTAAATACACACACACTTTAAGAGTGTTGCACGTCCAGCTTGAAACAGGAGCACAAAGAAAACCATGAACATGAAATCTATAACCATCTCTGAGAACTTCAGACTGATTTCAAGCATACAGGAAAACTGCTTATGAAATTCTGCAGGCTAGATTAGAATACATTCCCTAGTTTGCAAACATGCTTTTAAAAAGACGAAAGATACTGCATATGAAATTCAATATAGGGACTTGCACATAATACAGACAGGGTTAAAAAAAAAAAAGAAAACTTTTGGTCACCAAAAGTTTACCTGACAATCATGGTAGGAAGCAAGTGATATCCCAAAATGAAGTTAAGAATATCAAATACTATGTATTTTGTCAATTATATGCTTTTAAAAATAGAGCCTTTAATAACTAGAATTTGAAAAACATTAATCATATTATGCCTTCTAAAATGGCTGGGGTGGGAAGCACCAGTTAAAAAAAAATGTTTCCTTTGGATGCAGAGAAAAGAAAGCATCCTTATTTAAAAACAACTATATAGCAATTCTATAAAGTGCCTGTTTGAGGAAACACATCAACAGATGTTTTCCTTGTGCAAAATAGACATTTTTCAGCTCAAATCTTTGGAACATATGTGCTACCCAGAGTTTGTGTTCATGCATTACCTGCAATTTCAGTAATTGAATAAAAATTCATGTTTGCACCTCCAAAATTATTTTGCTTGATGCAAACTGTCTACCAGCCCCCAATTCAGCTTTGAGGGCTTGAGCTAAAAAAAAAAAAAAAAAAAAAAGTCATCAGAAAACTCTGGGGTTTGTTTTCTCATTTCTTAATTCTTCTTTCAACTCATTTGCCTATTGTGCGTGTTTACTTTTGACTATAAGAGTCCATTACTGAAGGCTATATGAAATACATTCTCTCCCAGGAAACAGCAAAACCACATTGCATACCACTGTAAGACACTTAAAATTTTAAGAAGCAGCATTTAGGATCGATCCGAAGCCTGACAGAGATCTATCTCCACTTTGAAATGCAAAATGCAAGATCTCTTGAAATGGCTTTATTATCAGAGAGCAGATACTTAAAGTGTTTTGAAACTTAAGAAGAAAGGTGCCTAAAAGTTAATGAAAGGAAGCTGAAGCAGCCCAAGTTACTGCCACGTTCAGTTTTCGGCTCAGGTCCACCTACAGCCAAGCTCAGACATTACGGGAACAGAAACTGCACAGAGAGGGGGAAAAGCCCATCAGCCTGAACCCGCCGGTACCGTCGTCCCAGCAGCGCAGCAGAGCCACACCAACACTACAGCAGGTAAGGCTCTAGCTATGGCAGCCAGGACAGTTAAAACGCATACACCATCCCTCTCAGTCTCACGGTAAACTGGCTACCGCGTATCGCTGAATTACTAATACTGGATTTAAGCTTTTCGGTGCCAAGATCCGTTACAGGCTCCAGCTGGAGTTCTGATCAGGGCCAGAACAGATTGTACAGGTATTTCTTTGTAAACTGCAAGGCTGCAGATCGAAATTTCCAATGAACAAACAAAAACAACCACCTCAGAACACCACCAGTCCTTCCCCTCAAATTTGTCCTCCCTCCCAGCCCACTACTGTTTTAGCAGCCCATCATCTCTTCTGTAAGAGGAATTTTCACATCTCTGAGCAGGAGAGGAGAAAATAGGTACAATGCTTATGAGAACAAGTATTAATTACATCTAAATCAAGATAACAGATTTAAGTGACTTAAATACATGTACATTCAAAAAAAAATATATATATATTTTCCCATTTTAGCAAGAAGCCACCAAGAGTTTATTTGATTTGAACTGTCTCTTGTAGGAAAGGTATTCTGAATGTACCAGTGCACAGCTGGTCTGACCAGCCAGGAAGTTCATGCTGCAAAGGAGTCCTTCTTGGATAAAACGTGTAGTCAGGCTCATAGTTCAAGAGACAACTCAATGATGCCATGTAGATATCTGCAAATCTAGAGAGACGTCTTAGGAAATAAGTTGGATTCTCATCAGTTCTGAATAAGCTTCCAAACTGTGCATTGAAGAAATTCCTGTTCATCTCCCTGTCCCCCAAAAAAAAGAAAGAGAATGAAGTGAACATACCTGCACACATCTCTTTACCAGCTAGCATCCAGAACCTGAAGCAAGCAGTTCCTATAATCTGTTCTATGCATTATTCTCTTACCATTGCACATCAAACCACTTAAATGCACCACAAATTTTTGCACCTCTTGCACATATGTAGCCCAGACCTAACGATTACAGAAGAGCTTCACACTTCTCCCACTAAAACCAGTGATAAGTTGCTTCTGACTTCAGAAACATGACATCTCAAGCTTTCCTTTCTAGAGATTGTGAAAGAAGACTTTTGCCTTCATCTAAATCCTAATGACACCCACTTGTCCCAAAGATAAAAGACTTTTTACCACAAAGATCTGGCTCAATGTACACAAAAAACTTAAACATCTTGGAATTAACTTCCGTTATTAGTCACTGCCAAGTACCATTCCCATTTCATTTACTTCCACATTTCTGGGGAAGGCTGCTGGTTGCACAGCTGCTGGCCTTGCCGACGGCGCACTTCACACCCCCTGCATTTAGGGATTGTTCCTTCACGATAGTAGACTTTTAGGATTTTTAGTACTATTACTATCTTTGTGATGAGTCCACTGCTAAATCCAGTGTAGCGCAGAGCCCAGTTTCTGCATATTCTAAAATATATTGTACGTAATCTGAAGAAGTCATCTAAAAAAATTGAAGTGACCAAAGTCTTGATACAGAAACACATTTTTAAATAATACAGAACTAAGTCTGTGTAATGAATAGCTACGGTGACAGCTGAAGTAAAGTGACAAGAAAACTGAGATGAGAAGGAGAAGTAGTTGATCTGGTGTTACCCTTTCACACAGAAAGTCAACATCTGTTCCAAAGAAGGGGAACAGGGGAACCCCCAAAGTAGGGGTTCATATGCACAAAGGGTCAGAGGGGAGAAGACCTGCACAAGAGACAGGTAGAACATTGCTTTACACAATTTCAGAAGGTCTGTAACTACTGGGGAATATAAATCAAGGATGGAGAGATACTCTGAAGAAATCTGTGGACAGGACACCTAGCTACCATGAAGCATATTGCAAATTCTTCGTCTCCCGTGTCTTACCTCATTTCCTTTCTTTCCTTCTTCCACTCTTCTAAAATCATTTGTGAATCAGGATCACGGTGAACCTGGAATGTAAAGAACGGATGACAGGTAACTAAGGGTGCCCTCATAAATGAGCCTTTCCATTCATAAACCCTTATCAGCTAACAGGACAAAAGCATGCTTCAGAAATCAGTATGCAGAAGTTATCCACGTGCATTTTAAATAAGGAAAAGCAGAAATCAATCCAGGCTGACCAGTGGAGGAAAGGGACAAGATTTTGAGAAAAGTCTTATTAACTAGCCACATATATAAAACTGCATTTATTTATCTACAGTCAAACTGGTGAACTTTAGTCATGTCCAGCATTTAGAAACTTGGCCGAATCCCTTCTGCTATATATTACATGCACAGAACAAACCTGCATGTGTTCCAGTAATCCTGTCAAGGTTTGCAGCCAGGTCATGGTTTGAATGTACTTCTCTGTGTTCATGATTTTAATCTCCGATCGTAACTCTGGAATAATTGCACCAGTGCGCCAGCCATGCTTCAGGGTCAAATCCTATTTACCAAGAATTACAAAATAAAATTTATTAGTCTTAAAAAGAGCTGCTTAAGAGAACTGAAGAATTTGACCATTGTTTATCCCAAAGGGGCACCAATTTAATTGCTTCCTGTATATAAGCAGAAATATTAAACAGTGGGACTTAACTGTGCCAACAGGCAATAGTTTAGTTTCCAAGTAAGCTTCAAATCCCAGTTTTAAAGAGAGAGACAGACAGACATAAAGAACACACAAGCACTAATTCATTATGTTTAAAACAAACAGTAGGAAATTCCTCTTGTAGATGAGACCTCTGCTGCTGTCAGAAGTATCTGTAAGAAACAGTGTATTGGGTTTGTGGTATTTACCCATGCACTCAGCTGACAGAAGGGTCCTATGCGGACCCCAGCTATTCAAGCTCCTCCTGACAACTACAAGATGAGGCAGCTGCCACCTGTGCCCTCTCCTCCAACGCGCCAGAGAAGAACAGAGCTGCCACCTCCTTCCTTTGGCCCTCAGCCTTCTGAAGCACCCACACTTACATCTCTTTTTAAAAGCAGACTGGGGCAAAAATGTTAACGTGTGCTGCTGCTGAAACATGTTACCACAGCTTGGTTGTGGAAAGTCATATCCAGGCATTCATATGCAATCAATTACAAAAGAGTTAGGTGGTGGTCACTTAGTCCGAAGTAACAGTTAACAGTATATTTGTTCATAAAATAGTAAGAAAATGCCTGGAGAGTGGGGCTACAAACCATAGCAAGATCTCAAGAAGAAAGTAAGTTTACCATTAGTGACAGGAAGATTGCCTGTCAAAACAGAAGTTCATTCAGCTCTTATTACACTTGGTAGTGTCATCCAAATCAGTGACAATCCTTTGCATTTGGATATCTGTGCTTACTCAAGGCTCCGGGGAGACCTTCCAGCAGCCTTCCAGTACCTAAAGGGGCCTACAGGAAAGCTGGAGAGGGACTGTTGACAAGGACATGGAGTGACAGGGCAAGGGATAATGGCCTTAAACTGAGGGAGGGTGGATTTCAATTAGATATTAGAAGAAATTCTTCACTATGAGGTAGTGAGACACTGGAACAGGTTGCCCAGAGAGGTTGTGGATGCCCCCTCCCTGGAAGTGTTCAAGGCCAGGTTGGATGGGGCTTTGGGCAACGTGGTCTAGTGGAGGGTGTCCCTGCCTGCAGCAGGCGAGTTGGAACTAGATGATCTTTTAAGTCCCTTCCACCCCTAACCATTCTATGATTTTATGTTACATCTGACACAATCAGTACCTGGATCAGGAATACACCACACTCATTCCTAAGCACTGCTTGTAAACAAGTTAAATCCTACAAGTCAGGTGGAAAACATGGTCAGCCTTTTATGGCACCAATTTTCATCACTTTTTCTTTTTGCAAGAAAAGCAGTGTGGCTTAACTACCAACTCAAGTTTTGTTGTACTTAGAAATCTTAAATGAAAGTGTTATATTGAATAACTGGGGACAAAGAGAGGAAAACTAGCAAAAAGCCTCATCTTTTATCCTATTTTGCGAAAGTAAACTACTTACTGCCAAGTCACTGTAAATGTGATCACCAAAGTAGAGAACCTTAGAGCCCCTCCAGCCAGTAAGCTTCAGAAATTCGTACAAGTTACCCTGCAGAAACAATGACACATACATTGTAGTGGCATGCAACTTGCGCCTTCACAGGCATGAAAAAGCAATTTAGTACACCCCTGAAAATATTTTCATATTAAAAATCTTGTTCTCAGTTTATATATTACAAATCCCAAATTTTACAGGCGGGTTCAATACTATCACTTCAAGAGACAAATAAACTGCAGACACAGAATACCAACAATGAATTTGTACCACTTCCGTCATTAAAATAATTCTCTTAAACATATCTACTTTTTAGAAGCCTTTATGATATCTAAAGAAGCTTGGGATTCTAGGAAATAGTTATTAAATTTGAACTGAAAGAGTTTATGAAAGCATACCTGTTTGTAAATCTGACCTTTCTGCAGCTTGTGAATTTTGTCCCAAAGCAACACTCCCCTTTCATTCACCTTCCGAAACGGTCTAGAATAGAATTATATACAATTGTTACATTACTGTAGAAATTCTGTCACTTTTTAGAAGGAGATTAGCATTTTACTATTAAAAATATTCATTTTTCAAAAAGGAAACCATGGTCTCTAGCATCTGAACTTTTTGTACTAGACAGAAAAAGCAAGGCTCCAAAACTTCACTTTACCCCGTGAAATGCAATGTATCTCTCCAGTATACCTATGATATTTATAATGGAGTTTGAGAACAATTGTTGAGAACTAAGACAGGGATCCCAGATGGAGGGGAAGAAACTGAATCGTCTGCCATTAAGAAGGAGAGAAATACAAAAGAAGTGATGACATGTAAAAATCCTGCCCAATACCTCATTTTGTACAACTGAACAAGAACAGGGCAGAGGTCTGGGGGCAAGACATAAAGAAAAGTTCTTTTTAAAATTAAATGGGAAAAAAAAAGTAAAGGGAAAAAAATCCCACCTCCCTCTATCACACTTTCAAATCCTAAGTACACATAAAGGAATAGGTCTTTTTCAAGTGTAAGAATAGTGCATACGCATTACAAATATGTTTACTTAATTGAACAACTAGTCCAAATACTCCAGCCTGTCAGCCAGTCTGCCCTTTAAATATCATGCGTGACTAAAAAAACCAGACACAATGAAAGACATTTCCAGATAAGGAGCTGATTCTGAAAGGCACCAAAATTTTTCAAGTTTATTAGGAAAGGAACACACTTCAACTTACAAGCTAGGATGTTAAAAACAGCTTCTGTGATCCTAACTCAGTCCAGCAGACCCGTAATAGCTACTGGAACTTTCTCAGGCATGAAATGGTGAACATTTGGACTTCAGAATTGGGTGTCACTGCATTATGTAATGACCTTAAACAGGATCTCACCAAATATAATTTTCTGTTACATTGCATCCCAATTAAAACATTTCAAAACATGTTCTATAGCCTAATATGGAATAAGCTGCTTGAATCGTTCTTTACTGACTGGATACTCACCTTCGCTTATCATTGAAAAAGTTTGGCTTATCGGCCTGTACAATGACCACATCAAAGAGATCCCTCCAGTCCTTGCCAACTATGAACTTCATGCCTTTGTCCCTAAAAAGGACAGAGGGATGTTAACAGTAGTGGTTATCTGTGCAATATAATGAATTATATTCGAGAACCTCATCCTCCCCATCCTTTAAAAAGGTGTAGTTGAACAGCAAACAACTGTTCACTTACACGAAGCTGCTGGGACTGTTTGTGATGAGAAACATCTTCTTGCCATGATCAGCCAGCTTTGCTAACACCGCACGAGTTTGTTCGGCATAGCAGATGTATTTCTCTGTGAGGATTGAGGAAAATACAGTATTAATTGAAAAAGTTTTTCACAAGAATTTTCTCTGCATTCAACCAAGGGTTCAGAACATGAAGGTATATTCGCCAAAAGTACCTTAGGCAAGTGGAAGTAACTCTTTCAAGCTTTAAAATTTAGAATTTGTAATCTCAAATAAGGAAGCCAGAAAGATCACTATACTATCAGTGAAAAAAGCTCTGACAGATGATCTCATTAGTACTTACCAATATCTGCTTCAATTGCTCTGTACATTATTCCTTTGATGTGGACATCCCTGATTGAATCCTGTCAGGAAAGCAACAGAGCACTAAAGAACTGAAAAATCTTTTCAACTATAAAACCCATGCTCACTGCATAGCAGTAGTAATCTGTTTTTAAAACAATTCCTTTCTCTAAATTACACTTTCAACTTTACAGAAATGCCATGTCGTATTCATTATGTATATGTCACCACTAGACAAAGAGTAAGCCCGTCCTCTAAGAAACTAACTTCATACTTTTGGGAAGTACACAACTGTATAGCAAAGGGGCTCTTTCATGTAACAACTGTGAAAAGAGTGAGGTGGGGTGAAAGCCCTCTGCAGAAGCAGAGTCATCACAGATTTCTAATGAGCTTTGGAGCAGAACACATTCCTTTCCTCTTGCAAAAACAAAATCCAAAATCTTTAAGTTGGTTAGATTTTAGATTATGATCACTCCTAAATGCCCTTGTTATTTAAAAACGAAATTTATAAACAAATGAAAAGCTAAATGCTTAAGCAAAGTACCCATAAGGAGCTCTGAAGGCATTTGGCAGCTCTCCTGAGCCAGCTCTGCACCAGATTGCTTTGTTCAGGACAGTAGTACTGCCATTTTGGTACTTACACGGAGTATGTCCTAAAAATCCTCCAAAAATGCCACTATAGGGCTTCCAAAACGTTGGTAATGCTGAGCAGTACAGAAGTTTCTACAAACACTTCAGCTAAAACCACAAGAACTAGCCTTCTGACTCTATGCAACCATAGGCAGAAGGGAAAAATTACTCTGGAGGTCAAATGTTACTTAAAATCTATCTGTTCTACTTGGGAAAGTGACAGATTCAACATTCAGGTGCATCACATATGCTGAACAACTACATGAGTTTAATACATGTCAACAAGGGGCCAGGAAAAGGTTTTGGATTTAAAGCTTGTGCAGACAAATACCATCAACTCGGACATGATCTCTTCTGTTCTTAAATAACCATGACATAATTTTTATCTCCTCTGCAGGATACATCCTGAGGAATCAAGAGGGTCAAATTACTCTAATCATTATTACTAGATTTTTCTGGAGGAGGAAGAGAGGAAAACAGGTGAAATAGATATGCCAAAAGTAAGAGGCAGCAAATGATCGTATACTAGCAAAGATACAGAGAGAGTACAACGGAAAGCTCGAAACTGGAGTTCCCTATAGGCTCTTACAATTCCTGCTAGTGAGGAAAGTGTATCTTTAATAACAATCAAAAGAAGCTTTATCAATATACAAGAGCTCCTTCACTTTCCCCATTCACACCTCAAACCTACAGAAAGAGCAACAGCCCTAGAACATTAGATTTAAAACAAATTTTCAAATTATTCTGTTTCTTTTCCAAGGTCTACCTTCATTTTACTTATGTTTTTATGGTTGTATAGCAATAATTGCTCTATACAAAACCTAAAGTTGATGTATTTCACTGGAGTTGAGACAACAGATTGAAGCTTCCTGAAGTACTCTCAGAGAAGATGCAGAAATGTAAAGGTTTACCCCATCTTCAAAGCTAGTACCTTGACATCTTTGTACAGATGAACAGGCTCATAGTCTATGTTGTTTTTCAGAAAATATTCATTCACACAAGAAAGGAGTGTCATTTCTGGCAAGGAAAATATATCCATGAATTGCTTCATTGTATTTCCTTGTGAGCTCTACAGGGGTGGGGAAAAAAAGAAGAAAAAAAAAAAAGGTCAGGCATTTCTCAGATTAGAAAACTTTCACTCATTCAGTATAAACATGTCAGCTTAGTTGCAGATATTCAGCTTTTGCTGTCACTTTTCACATTGCTTTAGATTCTTTTTGAACTAACAGACTTCCAACAAAGTAACTCCAACAGAAAGGTTGGCTTTACTGTAAGAATTTATCATGACTCATTACTCTTAGCAGTATTTTAACTCATAAACACATAAAAGACAGAGATCAGCTAAAAGTCAAGAGAAGACCTTCACTGGAAGCCTGCACTTATGTAAATAAGAGTGATGCGGGGATGAAGGTTTTATTACTTTTTTGCAATAGGTGGAACACTGATTAGGACTGCAAAACAATTTACCTCCTTGAAAAGGGAGAATGAAAAGTTGTACAAGTCTACAATAACTAATGCAGGAACAGAAGAAAATATTTCTAGTCTGCAAAAGCTGTAACTATAGTTAAGTTTCACAGAAGAGAATCTCATTATACAAGAGCAAATACTTCTCAAGAAGAAAAGAGGTAAAGCAAGCCGCTCAAGACAGCACACTGTTGAAGATCACAGAAACACAGAATGGTTGAGGTTGCAAGGGACCTCTGGACATCATCTTGTCCAACTCTCCTACTCAAGCAGGGCCACCTAGAACCAGTTGCCCAGAACCTTGTCCAGATGGCTTCTCAATATTTCCAAAGATAGAGACTCCACAACTTCACTGGGCAACCAACTCGTGCCAGTGTTCAGTCACCCTCACAGTAAAGGAAGCGTTTCCTGATATTCAGAGGAAACCTCCTGTGTTTCTGTTTGTGCCCATGGCCTCTTGTCCTGTCACCATCCTTTCCAAGATCAAAGAAAGCACACATGTGCAGAGACCAAGGGATCCCACAGGGAATGTCAGGGCAATATTCAGAACTGCTGCAGAGACTAGATTTGGGAAGTCTAAGTTCAGCTCCTTAAAAAAAGAACAAGTGTGAAAACAACAAAATGCTCCACAGCACAAAGAAGGGCCTTTCACGTCAACATGGCATTAACATCTATAAGTAAAAGGGGTAAAATAAACTTGTTTTTTACTAAAAAGACAGCACCACTTTTCATTTGGGAAAGAGGAAGGAACCTACCAGCAAGATCAAGCTTCCCCACAAAGTCAAATCCTAAACTTAAAAGCTTTATCTTTTATCATTCATCTTTTGTCAAATCCTCTTACTGTCACTATGTCAGCTTGTATGCAAGAGATGCCTCCATACATTTACTTGCTGCTACATCAGCTAAGCCATTAGACCACCAGGAAGAAGTATATAACTGGGGTAAGGCATCAGATATGGTTCACTTCCCATCCTTTATCTGATTTGCTGTGCAACACTGAGCAAGTCACTTGATTTTGCTGTGTTCTCTGTCTGTATGACTGGGCAAGGGAACACTGAAAGAAGAAACTAAAGCAAGTGGGAGAAAGAAAAGGTTTTTGTCACTTCAGAGGGCAAACTTCACATCTAGCACTATAGGTCAATCATGTATTGAGAAAATATAACTGCTAGTAATAACAAAATACTAACACCACTACCCCCCCCCCCAAAAAAAAAATCACTTTAAAGAGCAGTTTGTGGTTTTACCTTTCCATAAAAGTCACTCATTTGTTCTAAAGGGACATGGGAACCATCATACATTGCAATGACTTCTTCATCTGGGACAACACTGAGGCCTCTGGAAAACAACATTAGCTTTAGTTCAAAAGTCAGCCTAAAATTTTCAAGTAATTACCAAATGAAAGTCTGACAGATTAACACTTGGATCTGGAGCTTATTAAAATACTAATAATGTCATAGGAACACTTGAGTCTGTAAGTTAAAACAGCATCTTTCTTTACAGAACAAGTAACATTTTAACAGGCTGACGCACACAGAACACATTCCAATTTTAAGTCCTTTTTACTTTCTTACGGGAAAAGAGCTAATTAGTCTCCACTGAAGCTATGCCTTAAGGGTTTGTAAGTAGTTAGAGCTTCCAGTTTCTTAACACAAAGTAATTCCTCGCTCTGCCTTTGTTTCATACAGCACTGATGATGTGATAGCGTTTAAACCAAATTATTCTGTACTATGACCTTGAAGGTTCAAGGGAAAGAAAAACATACACAACTTTTAACTAAATAAGATTTTCTTTTAAACTGTATCAACAGTTCAGTTTCCTAACATTTAAGATTACTTGAAGGATTGTTGACAAGCAATTAAAATATAAAAGTATAACAACAAATGGAGAAGAAGGGAACATTATCTCTCCCCAGAGTTTCTTTATCAACTATTAAAAGATTAAAGGCTTTGTTTTGAATGTATCAAGCACCTTGCACTAAAGCATCTCCAACACCACAGGCAGGTAAACATCCTCACCAGAGGACACAGAAGTGTTGAGGTTTTGCTCAAGACTAAAGAACACAAATGGCAAACGGTCCCTTTTTTCCAAGCCTACTTATGGTTTTTTGCAACCTTGTAAAAAACCAGTTATTTCATGCCCCCCTTTCTTGGTCTTACCCAGAAGTCTTGTGAGGTATTAAAAAATAAATTAATTAGTAAGCCTAGTACTTTCAGTGTTCAGCATCCACACCAGCTTTGCAGTGGAAGGGCACGATACATGAACTTTGTCAGGGCTGCGATGGTAGCAGAGTCCCACATTACCTAGCTCCTTTACCGCACTTCTCAATGATACGTCGACTTGTACACAGCTCTGTGCTACTGCAGGTAGGACTCCAGCATTTCAGTTAGAATTGTGCACAAACAGGGCAGATAATACTTTAGTTTAACATACAGAGTTCAGCATCACCCATCCACAGCAGTAAATACAAAGAAATGCAACCAAAATGTTAAACATATACTAAGTAATACAATCAGAATTGAGGAGGACTGACTCATCTTCTAGTCTGCAGACAGCTATGCCATTTGAATACTGCTGGAGAAAACATGCGTGGATCAGGAGCTACTTAAGCGCAAATCAAGAGCTGACAATAGACATACGTGAAATCCACAGAGGAGCGATGACTGTGTTGGCAAAGCTGTAGATTAGTTTTACCAGAATACTCATAGTCTTGACAGTTCACAGTGCAGCTGTATAACCACAAAGTATATTTTACTCCACTGACAGCATGGACAGACTGCACTAAAAACACCACAGTTCACCCACAGCAGTGCTCCCACTGCCGCCCTTGGAGACGTGCATTGTTAGAGGGATACCAGAATTGCTTACACCTCTCAGTGCAAGTGAGGTTGTACGCTTGGGCAAGTCCTGCTACTTTCAGTGGTATGATTGACCTACACACATACAGAACACATGGAAGCTTAAAACTAAGAACTAGAGATATGCAGCAACTGACAGCAAAGCTCAGTGTTAGTACAGAAGAGAAAGGTAATCTTATTTTAAACCAAATTAAGAGAAAGTATTGAGTGAAATGGTAGCTTTCACTCTCTCCCTCACACTCACAGGTACCAAGATGCGTGGCCTAGCAGTCTGTCCAGAATTATTTTGGGTGACACACAGAACAAGGGATGCCAGCTCTTCAACAAATCTCAACACCTCTCTAGAGTCTTCTTGACCAGTCATGATGTGCTGGCTTTGGATGTGCCTTTTGTACTAGGAGTTGACAGCAACTGTGATCTCCTGCCTCTTCATTTTGTCCCACTCTTGAGTCATAAGGTAACACACTGCTGATGGACTCACCATCCATTTGTCTTCTCATCTAGGTGACTATATGGTTCTAGTCATACCATTGTTCTTCCTGACCTCATCTCTCAAAGCCTTCAACCTCTTTTTTGCCCCTCCCACCCATATGGGTGGTTGGAGAAACAGCATGCAGATGTGCTGATTTCCTGATGACCAACTGATCCAGGTACCACCAACACACACCATCCTTTTGTCCCTTCTATCAACATCTCTTCTGGTGCTTTCACACATGTGTGTTTCCATTCATACCAATCTTAGTATTTCTAGTACATAACTACAGATAAATGTATTTTTTAATCACTTCACCTAGTCTTTAATCTAGCAAACTAGCATTTTTCACAGTGAAAAATGTGAAAGTGTGACAGCCTTTTTAAATGAACCTTACAATCAGCAACCTTCATATCAAGTTCTCTGGTTCCCTCCTAGCCCTGCATAAAAAATTCCTTCAAAAACCACAGGAACAGGTTTTGTCAGTTGAAATACACAACAATTAGTCTACATCAGCAGGTATGAAACACACAAATAAAATCATATAAAGTTTCACTCAGACTCCGATGATACATACAGAACACATTAGTTTTGCAGCTTTAGATCACTACTATGTTGACAGTATGAGGCTAATACTGGACCATGTCATCTTGTTTCCTCTTTCACTTTCCTTCCCTTCTCCCAAAGTGTGTCTCAGACTAACTCATAGAAGAACAGATCCATGACTACAGCTGACTACTACCTATCTGCCCCACTGGCATACAAGAAGTAATGAGCACATTATCATCATTTCATACTACCATATACAGCCCCCCATAGCAAATCATCTAAGGTTGTATTATCTTTTGGCCCCAAAAGAAAACTTTCTGTCCAATGACATTAAGAAACGTGCTCAGGCCTTGTTTAATTTAAAATCTGGTACGAAGTGTGGTGTTCATGTCAGTCAAATGCGTACTGCTTCATGACAGCAAACTGAGCCATAGTAAAAATTCTCCTGTCAAAGATCACATACAGTATGTCTGTATCATGTAACGAAGAACAGCACAGAGATTGCCAATTTTACATCAATTCAGTAAGCTCAGGAACTGTCAGGCTGTGGGGACACAAAGCAGTTGTGCTTCATTCTGCAAGTATGATGTTGATGTGTCCAAACTTAAAAGCTCTGTGCAAACATAGCAAGACCTCTCAAGTGTCCCTACAACCACACCAAAAATCATGCTAACAGGCACTCTGCGATAATTATTTACACAGAAAGCAACAGCGGAGAAGTCATCGGCGTATTTTTAGATGTCTTTCAGCACAATTTAACAGCCGGAAACTAAGTGAGTCAGCACTATGTGACCAACCAGCTTGCCAACTTCCCCGGCTCCGAACTGGGGAATCAGCGGTACTGTATCAGTCAGTAAGCGTGTGCACATGTCTGTGTGTACACACAGAGGCGCAAAGAAACCCCCTTCCAGTAAGCCTGCCATGTTCATTCACGTGTCTGCTTTTCAGGGCTCTGTTCCTGATACGAACATAAGAGATACACAACTAAGAGATTAAAAAAACCCAAGAGTAGACATTTTTATTATAGATAGAAAATAATTTTACCCACCTGTAAACTGTTCCCAGCTGAATATAATGAAAAGCATCAATCTTCATTAATAATGCCTTGCAAGGGGAAAAAAAAAAAATCAGTTTTTATCACATTAACTATTTGTCATGAAATTATAAAAATCAAAACAATTTTGTCTATGCCCCTTGTCTCAAGAACACTTTAGCACCTTCACTTCAACTCCCTTCATAGCTTCCAAAATACTTTTATCAATGGCGTTTACCTAGGCCTTGCCAAATCACAAAGAAAAACATTGTCCAGTGACCTGAGCTAAGCCATGAAGAAATAACTTTTCTTACTAGCAGATGCTTGCTTATGTTTATTCTGTTGCACTCTAAGTTGTCTTTCCTACCTCCACCAACCACGACAGCAAAATACCCAAAACATTTCATACTTAAGAGCTATTAAAAAAAAAAAATTAAAAATCAAGCTTGCTATGAAAGAGAAAAGTATGAAACAACATCCTTACACATCAACAGAGTGAAAAGCTGGAAGACTTAAAAGTCCTGTTTATTTTCTTTGGCTAAGTTCTCAGCACGATATAACTCATCACAAAGTTATTTATACATACCCGGTGCACATCATAATGAAGTCCTCGGATTGCAAAATTGGGATCATAATCATATTTTCTTATTTCTGCAGGATACTAAGAAAAGAGAGCAATGATTTGATTTTACCTCCACAATAAAAACAAATTAAAAAATTGTTTCTGCAGAATTTTAAAAGCCTACGTTTTCTATGCTTCTCATTTTCACTAGTCATTAAGAGGCTTTTCGATAGGTTGGCGAGATTTGCAGGAACATATGTACAGTGTAAGACAAGTCAAACATTTTTCCCCAAGGTCAATGTTTTAAATGTAAATCAAGCACAGTACCTAAAGTTGGACATCCAGGTACTCTGAGGTCATCACCTTTGAACATTAGCCTGTTGTTTAAAAAGTTAATATATGCACCTTTGAAAACAAACTAAATTTTATTAACTTCCTAAAATTTAATAGCTGACTTGCCTTGCATTGTGAAGTCTCCCCATAAAACAAACTACACAAACACAGTTTCCAGCTCAACCTTCTAGCTAGAAACCCAAGAACATGGCCTCATTTAGAGATACCCAAACTTTACTGCTCATTTCCAGTGAAAGAAAAAGCTATACATCATCATCAATATGAACAGGAGCATTAACTAGCATTTTCAAGAAATAAAAGAAGCACAGCTATCTGTTTTGACTCCCTCAGTGCAGATCATACTCCCGATCTTAGATTGTCACGTTTGAAATGCAGACCCCAGTGGTGTTTAAAGATAAGTGCACTTCAAATAAACACAGAGGGGGAGGAAGGAAGAAGAGAATTCACAATGGCTAATGTTACCTGGAGAAGCCAGGCTCCCCTAACAGGGACCTTCCTCAAGATACTGTGAGTCACAAAGATCATATCCTGAAAGCGAGTTGGGCATTAAAGGGTGAGCCAGGAAAACGCCACAGTGACCCAACTACTTTTACCCTGGACAGCAGGGTACCTTGGAACACCTCGTTGTCTAGAGATGCACATGAATTGAACATCTGTGCCACGTACTCTTTCCTCGGGTTCTTTACAGATAGCACAGTAGCTTGCCCCACCTATTAGAGAGTTTTCTAACATTTTTCAGTCAATTGTAATTTTGTCCTGCATCAAGCATAGGCTAGCCATGAAAAAAAATATACATTAGATGCGTGCCTTGGGCTAAGGGGTTTGTTCATGTCGTTTTAATAGGTAAAATTCTTCAGTCATTTCTGACAAGGCTTGAGAAAACTATCATTTCTTTGACTAACCAACTGAAAGATGATCCTTCATTTCCGTCCCACAGGCTACCGCAGTCTTAGAACTTGACAAATGCATCTCAGGCACATTCTCCACCTCTCTACAACAGTCTCCTTACATATATGGCTCATTTACAAGCTTTCAGGGAAAAAGGTAGATTATTGCACTTCAACAGAGGCTCTAGCTACTTTTACAAAAAAATAAGTAAATTGCAATTTCTCCACAAAGTCTTTATCTATGCCGAAGAGGATTTGCTCTGCAACTGCTGTAGATTGTGCTTACACTGAGCACGGGCATCTACAGTTAAAGAAAACAGTACCTTCTCCCAAATGAATTATCATCCCTACTACCGCTTCCAGAAAACATGGGGGAGGCTACTGATCCGAATGAAGAACAGCATCAGAAGGCTACAGACAGGTTGGGAAGATGTGTAGATTTGGCCAAGGAACACGAAGCAGAAAAGAGGGAAAACGGAGGAGGATATAGAATGTGATCAATTAAAAACTAAGATGTACTGCACATGCCCCAAAGCAGCCACATCAAGCATGAACCAGGATTTTTTTTTTTTTTTCAAATTCCTGCTTACTTGACTCTCCTACTTTAATTTATTCTACTAGAATGCTGTCTTTTTGCATGCATGCCGATATGTATGAGAAAAAGATTGAGACTACCTTGGCACACAAATCTTCCTTACAAGCCAAATAAAAATATATATATATAAAAATTGCACTGTTTACTTACCCCACTCTTGGTGGGGATACATATATCTGAACTGAAACAGCTGTCCAGATAAGGTGGCACAGACCCGTATGTTAGGAAAGAAATAAACCCAAGACCAAGAGTTTACATTCAACACCTGCTGCCACCTTCGAGATTAGCATTAAATCAATGTTTATTCTCTTGGACACACTTCAAAATTCCTTGCTTCCTACACAGCATTTTGCTATTTCTGATGAATTACCTTACACTGCCATGACCAAAATTGGCCATCTTTCAGGTTGACTGTGACAGTCATAATGGGCAATACTATCTAGAAGTTTTTTCTAATGTTAAAGGCAAGAAAAACATTAACAGAATAAGCAGCTACAGAGGTAGCATTAATAAAAATTGTTGTCCCTCAATAAATTCCAACAGGAGATAACATATTTCAATAAGTTGTCTCCAAAAGTAATTACAGCTTCATTTACTAGAACTCAAGAGATTTTAATCGAGGCAAACTGGAAAGTTATTACTACCTGAATTCATTCAAACAGTAAAGACAGAGCACCATTTGAATTTTTGTCTACAAGAATTAATCTTGACTCCTACAGTAGCATTGTTTTTTGCAAGAATCACATAGCTTTAAAAAAGTGTATTTACACATGCTACAGTAACATTGCTACCAAGTCATGTCAAAATCTTAGGGGGATCAAGTTGTGTATGCTTGTAGCGCCCATGAAGTTTCGTTCGTTCTTCCAGGGATATTTATAGATGTTTATATATAGCTCCTAACCTTTAGATTCAAATACGAATGTAGAATACCACCACTCATTCAGATTTAGGTTGTATAAAATACACAAGCAGTTTTATTAATTAAGCTACCCACTGGAATTTTTTGTGGGGTTTTTTTTTTCCCCCTGCTGTAAGTCCTACAGTTCTATAAACTTTCTCTCTTTCAGTCCGGATTTTCTTCAATCTTTTTCCCTTCAATACCTTCAGTTTACCAAGTCACTCATCTCCCCCCCTGCTTCCTGACACACAGCACCTTCTCCCATCCCCAAACTACACGGCAACCAGCTCCAAGCTGCTTAGATGTCCACTGGTCACCGTTGCAAACACGCTGCTTGGCGGGGCAACAGGACAGCGCTCCCTCTGAAGGGACCGCTCAGCTGAACGCTTACTTGGGGCTTGCTCTCTCCGGTTACAGCGTCACTGCACAGGCTGCCCCTCCAGCTAACTCAGCTGAAACACTGCATGCATACAGAGCACCTCACAAGCACGCAGTGCAATCAAAGACCTCGTAAGAAGTCAGGCTAAAAATATTCCATATGCAAATTAATCACTGCACTCACAGCAATGCATGCAGCAGAGCAATGGTAACTTTTAAGCTTCTTATCTGTTAGGGTCACTCCAATAACTGACAATCAGAAAAAAAACCTCCCCAAAACTACCTCACCACCACCAAAATAAAAAAAATAAACCAAATAAAACTCTATTCCTTAACAGCTGACAGATTGAGCTCTGCTCAAAACTGCAGCTGAGAATAAACCAGGACTTCTGTGCTTCATATGTAGCTGTTGTACAAAATGTGTTATAAAGGGAGCCAATCTAGGATCGAGGCATAAAAAGATGAGTTACACCCTTCTCAGTTAGAAATTATTTATTCATAAGTTTATTGTTATTCCATTAATTTTACTTACCCGATGCTCATTAATAAGAAGATCTCGAGCAGCATTGAAGATCAGCGTGTGCAAATGTTTAGAATAAAAGACCAACGTGTAGTCGTAATCAAAACCATAAATCTCAATGTCTGACAGGCTCATTTCATTGTTTGAAAAAATAGCATCCGGATTCAGCATGTTACTCATAATTGAGGGAACCAATTCTGGGAACAGGGGAGGAGGGGAGAAAAAGAAAAACAAAACAAAGAGTTATACCAGCCTTGTAGTTTTATTTAAACGAATACACAGAAATCCATTAGCAATTTCTAAATATAGATAAACAATGATGGAAATAATCAAACTAATTCTCACTAACCAGCTAGTTCTTAACAATATGATGCTATTGAAAACGCTGTCTGTAACTTGTCCTGGTGACCCACAGTTTTTATTTGAAGCACACTTTGCATTTCAGCATCTTGCTTATCAGAGAATCCCAGACTCAACATATATAATTTTTTGCTAACTCCATTAACACATTTATTACTGCTTTTGAAAACTAACTTTGGAGTTGGAGGAGGATATTATTATAGGAGTCTTGTCTTCTCCCATTATTTGGTCCAGCTTCTGCCCCAGAAACAGAAGTGACATTGTTCTAATTTGACATTGCTTTAATTTCTTTTGTTTCACCGTTTCAAGGTTACCACATTACTCAATTTCAACTCAAATAAGTAAACTTTAAGTGATTGCCATACTTTCCAAACAACAGTTACATACACATTGCTACATTCATTAACCTTCTAGCAAATCAGGAAATCAAAAACATTCTACTTATTCTCTACACACATGTACCTAGTGTGCGTAAATCACTTCCATTTTTAAGGGTATACTTCTCTTGATATTTGTTTGAAAAGTATACTGAGAAGGTAAGGCCACTTACATAGAGACGTAACATATTAAGTAACTTTAGGATCAACACCAACATCAGTATTAAGCATGTTTGTATTTCTTGTTTAAAAAACTTGGGAAAGCAACATTAGGACGCTAAACACTATCCTCCTGGAAGCATAAAACATGAGCATGTTTTCCTTCCTTTCCTTCCCATATACTATCTTTATGATCCAGCCTTCCCTACCAGTGGAAAAAAGGGGAGCTTTCATCTTAAACCCATGCTCGGAAGGGTGAGTTTAAAGGGAATATGCTTTGTTTGGTTGCTTTCTACATATAAGCCTAGAAAGAATTGGTCAAGCTTATCTCAACACCTTCAGCTCTGAGGGCAGATAACACTACGTGCTCCATCACAGGAGAAAACCATCTCAACAAGGCAGGTAGGTGTGGGGACTCCAGATCTGCTAGAAAGATAGTGCTGTGTTTTGAAAACTCCAGTCAACTCATAGAAAGGGAAATAACATTTCTTTTGTAAAAGCAATGCCTTAGACTACTGCACAATAGAAAGTTACACAGATGCCCAACAACAGACTGTAACCTAAAACCATTCAGCTTTATCAGATGCAGGTATTCAAGTCTTTTAATTTTTGAGAGAGAGAAAGAACAGCAATTCCACTCAGTTTAATTCCAAGTTTCAAATAAAGTCCAGCATGTCTTTCACCACAAAAGATCCCAGGAGTTCCCCATGCTTAAGCTGACATGACAAACTCTATGTTTCATTTCAGGGGATTTAACAAAATCAGCCTCAACTGAAACATTAGCTCCTACTATCTCCAGTCACTGTTTATAGTGATACACAAGATAAACGTTATGCTCAGTTGAGGTAACAAAATAGTGAAATGCAATTTGACACGCTCCTATTAAGGTAAGTACTCTTATTCTGTAAAAAGAGCCATGAATCATTTAATTAACTTGAAGTCATAACCATAGTTGTGAGTGAACTTCCAAAAATCACATTACAACGCTCTTTTCTGTATCATAAAGTATTTTTTCGATGTCAATTGTGCACCCTGGTGAGTCAACATTTGTTTTAAAAATAAAAATATTTATATATCTA